CCTCCTCCTCCTCCTCCTCCTCCTCCTCCTCCTCCTTTTCTAGGAGTTCTGTGTCTGGGCGCATTACTTATTACAGTACAACAAAAACAGAGATCAGGCACGGGGATCACAGCAATCATAAAGACTTGTGGAGTTGAGCAAAGAGTAAACACACTGAGAAACCCTTTGTGTAGGTGATAGTTTCTTTTTGACAGCAGAATAGGGCACCAAGCTGTGTTTCTTTTGTCAACGAGGGAGACCAGAGAAAGAAATGTTTTCAGGGAAGATCATGGTTTGATTGCCAAAAATCTGCTTTAACAGTAATGTTCAATACGGCTTTGAAAGAAATGCTTTGCACTGTAAAGTGAGGTGGCTGTTCATCCATGTGTGCACTATGACACTTGAGAGCAGCATCCAGTGCAGCCATGGGACCCTTAACAAATGCTGTGGCTGTTTTAATCATCTGAATAGAAGTGTTTCATATGCACTCCTGGGAACAAAGGACAGAAATCTCTGTCCAAACACATCCTAATTCATGCTTCATGTAAGGCAGAAATAAAATGAGTTCCTTGCACTCAATCTCCATCCGTGTTTTTACTTCAGGCATTTGCCTGATCATATGCAAAAAAAAAAAATTAAAAAAAATCCTGTGGTTCCTGTGAGGGGTGCTGCAAAGTGATCAAGCCACCTTAGTGCTTAAAAGCCCTGAAACCCAAGAGGAGGAGGTGTGATGAATCTTGAGTTCTTGCAGATGGACATATGGGTTATCTGCTGGCTCTACAGAGTCACAGAATTGAAAAAAATAAGACTACTTTTTCCACATCTTCAGTACAACATGGCTGAGTCAGAAATAAAGTGGGGTCACGGAGGTCATGGACTGTTTTCAGACTAGCGCAGACTTCGTGTGCGAAAGTGTCCTTATTTAATGAATATTTTACAAATAGCTTTTGAAAAGCACAACCCACCTGCATACGTGTGATTTCTGCCTCAGGTGGTGTGCTGGATGTAAGGCTACGGACTGTTATTGCAGCCGGAGGAGTCCTTTCAGTAGCGAGGGTTCCTGACCCGTTCTCAGCTCCGCTTCCAACTTGACTTGGCCTTGAAGTTCACACCGTTTTCAGGGAAGCTGAAATGATCAAGTTACAGCGAACTTACACGTGATAATTGCCAGCTATAATTTTTATTTATTTATTTAAAGAAAATGGGAAATACCACCCAGTCATACAAATTACTTTAAAATGTTCAAAATACTCCCCCTGTATTATCACAGCAACAGATCCCATAGCTCTGTAAAGTAGGCCAACATTGTTCACTTATTTTTCTAGGCGCAGTGCTAAAGTTGAGGTAATGGTAACAAATTAAGGGAGGAGGTCAAATAGGAACTGGGAATTTCCTGAGTTACTTTAATGGCTCCGAATGTACACAGATGTTACTTTCTCTGAGTTGTTGGCACGGTTTCCTTTACAATAGTTCAGGCTGTTTATAACATACAAGGATTATTTCTGGAGGAAAGGAAATTGTTTGAAAAGCCTCTTGCCTTTTCGTCTGCTTTATTTTTCTGTAACGCTCTTGGGTTGTAGTTTGTATGATCTTGATGGTTAATCAATATTCAGCAGGGCTGGCCTTTTTAATACCAGTTTAGGTATTTATCTCTCTGCTATGTAATTTCTTATTCCTCATGCTATAGAATTTGATTTTTGATCTGAACAAATGTCATGGTTTTAATTTGTAATGATGATAACAACTTAGTGGGATTTTCTTTTTCTGCCAGTGTATGTATTAAGCACTTTTTTCCATCCTGTTGCATGCAGTATTTATTTTCCATGGTCTGTAAACCTGACTTCTAAATATTTGCAATATCTTAATAACTTATACATAGGTGCAAATTATAGCTGAAAATTAAGTTTCTTATTAATTTAGAGAGCAGGGACG